TAATGCCAGCGACCTCATCGGATTTGTTTAAAGAGCTGACTTCAAGACCGCGCGACAATGTCGACACCGCATTTTTTACTTTCGACGTTGTGCTGTTATTTACAGTTGACACCGATTCTATTAAGGTGGACAGTGAACTTTCCAGGACTGCGATCGCTTCGAGAATTGAATCAGATTTTTCGTTCTGGCTTGCAAGTCGATGCAAAACTTGCGTGTTGGTATCCAGTTGTTTTTCGAAGGCCTTATGCTGATCAATTAGCAATCTAAGATCAAATTCCAACGTGACGAGCACTTGGCAAGAACTGCAGCACGGTAGCACGTAAGATTGAACATCAATCTTTTTGTCCCTTTTCCGTAGAGAACCACGTTGAACTGAGACTCCCACGCAGGCGGCATGAAATGAGCGCGCACACCCGATGCAGCTCCACAATTCCGTATCGACGGTAGTTTCCAGTGAACAAATTTCGCAGTTCATTTTGACAAAAATAACACACAAGAATAAAAAACAAAGAGCACGCAAAAAAAAAGAATGTGCTATACTACGAAAACGCACGTGGCTACGAGCAAATTAAAAACGCGTCCACACTGAATGACAACTAAAAAAGACTAATAAAGGAGATAGTAGGTATCCGAAAGTGTTGTGTCCCGTACTCAGCAGGTGGCGAAGGTGGCGAAGGTGCCACCAAAACATCCTGAGGGGTGGAAAATTTGCTTGTATTTAAAAAAAAATCATAAATAGATATGTTTGACTCAACGGCGAGATCGAAAATGAATTCTGGCAACCATGACGAATTGGTTTGAAAATCGTTTAACCGATAATGCCTTTTAATACAAAAATTTAACTTGCATGAGGTTAGCTACGCTTGCCAAAGATTTGTCTATTTTGTCTAAGGAAACTTTCAGGAAGGTTCAGCGACTTTCTAGGAAATTCTGCGAACTATAGGGAACTGTAGCGAATTTTAGGAAAGTTCTGCAAACTTGAAATAAGTTCCTCCAAAGAAGCAGATAAATTCAATAACTTTCAGAGAAGTTCTACAAACTTCAGGAAAATTCACTTTGCATCACTTTGTTGCCAAAAGCATAAGAGAGTTAGCAGGCAAAAAACTACACACTTAGAAAAATTCATGTGAATTTAGGTGCTCTGAGAGTAACATATACGAGCGTCAATTTTGACATAAATTTGAGTCATAGCAGACGCGAAATATAGCTCAAGCAAACGTACCTTTCGTCGAGTAACGAACTTTTCAGTCTCGGAGCACTTAATATTACATGACATGTTTGTTTACGTCTCATCTTTTATGTCAAAGATGGATTCCGTCTCGCGTAAAATTAGTTATTTTTAAGTGTGTAGCCTAGGGTGTACTGTTAAAGTTAGTTTTGGCATCATTCATTAAATTTATTTCGCCTTTATATCCGAATGTGCGAACCTTGGCCTTAGCCCCAGCCATAAGGCTCTGCACGACGTCAGAATCGACAGTTTTTTTTGCATATTAACCCATGCTTTCTTCTTTTCTTCTACATTCATCACCACTTTAGGTCGTTTTAGAAGGTGCTCCTTCATAATGGCCAGTATTTGTCTATTGGGCGTAGTTCCGGAGTGTTTGGGGGGTTCAGATCTTTCAGCACGAAATCGACATCATTCGCCTTATACCACTCTAGCACGTCCTTCGTGTAGTGGCATGATGCCACATCCGGCCAAAAGATCGTCGGACCGTCGTGAGCCGTCAGGAGAGGGAGAAGCCGCTTTTGGAGACACACTTCCAAATACACCTGTTCATTCACGGTGCTTGCAGTAACGAAAGGTGTACTCCGCTTTCCGCATGTACAAATCGCTTGCCAAATTAAGAACTTCGACATCTTATGTGTTCTGAGGTTCTCAGGAACATTACACTTATCCTTGGCAGTCACATACAGGTTTCCTGGAATCTGGTTGAAGTCCGCCTTCACATATGTCTAGTCATCCATTACGCAGCGCAGCAGTGTGGTTTCGTTAACTTCTAGTCGTACAAATTCCGGGCACGGATTTTTGCGACGGTATTACGTTTCTTGTCACGGTTTGAGGACTTCTAAACCTTAAACGTACGTAGTCCCGCTCGAGTTTTGGTATTCTGCACGATATTCTTGCTCACATGCAACTGTTTAGCCTCATCTCGAACTGAGGCGTTCGGTTTCCGTTTAAATGCCCCAACCACGATCGTTCTCGTGGACCTTTTTTCCGGAAATCATGTGAGTCATAGGATTGCTTTCTAAAAAAATCATTCGTTAAACAAATTTCTGAAAATAAATTTGTGTGTAGAATGGAATAGAAGTCAACTCGCAAATGCTATTCTTCTAGGCTTTCAACTCGAAACATTCCTTCGACCGAACCCGCAGCCTCCGGCTTGCTAATATCGTGCCTGACGAGGTTATTTGAGACCCCTGCGAGACGTAAAATACGGAAATCGTTAATTTCGCGATATCAAGACATGAGGGATGCTTGAGAAACTGTTTGGTAACAAAACAGGGGAAGTGTGCTAGTTATAGTACTAAAGCTTCATGTTGTTTGAATAAGTGTCGTTTGAAATTACCGGGCATCAGTGTGTCCTGCCTGTATCCGCATGATTCCACAGCCTTGCAGCAGAACTTGCCACCATCCTGCTGAATGACATGCAGCATGGTGTATTTCTGAGTGCATCGTCGTTTCATTTTAGCTCAGTTTCATAACGAAAAGTACTGTGATATCACACTGGTATCAAATAGCACCTTGTGTTTGTACAAAACGTTTGCAACTACCCTACCCAAATACTCATATCAACATACAAGTGCCGCTAGCGTAGTGTTATCATGCCTACTGTTCTATTGTAAGATCGTAAATAAATTCAATAGTTCGCATGCCTCTGCCATGACAGGATGGCCCGATAAGCAACCGTGTTTTATTTTCACCATCAATTAATCACACAACGTAACGAAGTTCTGCCCGTGTGCGATCACCTTGAAATCGCAAAATTAATCCAAATAGCAGTGAACAAAGCCGAGATTAACATAACCAACTTTTGAACGATCCAGGTGAATGTTTTGTAAACAATCTTTGTGAATCAATGAATGCATTCATAAACGATTCTTCTGTCTGTCTATCATAAAACGATGAATGCATTGTAGGAATGAACCAACACATGAACAAAAACATCAATGATCGCTGTCATATGTTTATCTTTCCTTTGCTTTCTCTCCTTCATTTACGGGAATGCGTTACTCTCCATAGATATGATTACTGAGATTGAAATATTTACGAGAACATGTTTGTAAATGATTTCAAATTGAACGTTATGCGATGCGATTTTTCCCATCACTGGTAACCAGTTAGCATATTGTTGTCATACTTAATTATCTTAAAGATAAATCTTCCAGCTCAAACCTTTGTAGGGGTAAGAGGTGGGACTATCAGCATATTTTTTTTTTTTTTTATGAGAATAGGTTGCCACAGTACGTTTGCTCCGGTAGATAGACGGTAGGTAGACGATTAATTTCCATTCGGTTGGAGGTAGTATCCTGTTAGAGTTACAAGCTTTTTACGTCTACTAGTTCTTTCCAATTTTTTGCAATAAACTGACCTCGCCCTGTGGTTTGAGTTTGCCGGGCATCCAAGAACGACAAGTGGTTCTCTGTCGAGGTGGCGCTTAAGCCATTAGTTTTGAAACCAATCTACGGAACGCTCTAGTAGACCGATTTTGGCGGCTACAAACTTATGCCTTATTGACAAATTAGTCGTTCAAAATTCGGCATAATGAGGATGGACCACGGGTATACCAGGTATCCACGATCTTATGGCATTCGGACTAGAAGAATTGGGTTTAATGATTCGCCACAAATAATGCCCGTGCTTCCAAACCTTTCTACGCACCTGAACCTTCATCTCCCGCTTTATGACCGATCACATTAAGTTTGCAACGAATCGGAAGCTCTCGATTCACGTAAGTACTCAACGAGAGTGCGAAGCTAAACAAAACATGATCTGATAGCTATACTGAATGTTATTGAAATTGTGCAGTACAGCAAAGACTCTAAATTAACAGGATGACCAGCTTATTGATGTTACGAACAATCCAGTGGATACATCCGCCCGATGCGCTGTCTACCGGCTTTACATTGAAGCGGTGTACAGTATACAAAAACATGCCAACGCTGACCGTGCGTTTCTTCTTACATTGTATATTGATGACAATACATCGACATTGACAGCATTTCTGTATTCACATCATAAATATGACTGGATCACTGGATATTGATACGTGTGGGGTTCGCTTATGTACAGACGCAAAACCTGCGAGTAGCACTCCCGAGCAAAGTAGAATAACAACCCGATATCATCTAGATAACAAGTCTTGTTATCCCAGATATCATTTTGTTTTCAGTTGTTATCGCATAACTTATTTAGTTATCAGCCTTGATCAATTTTGTTATCAGCTGTTATCATGAAAAAATCACTATTATTTATTAATGATGCAAGGTTAGTTCAAAACTTTTAATATTATTCGCATTGAAACAATAAAAAATAGTGCTTTTAATCCCATATCATATTTCAGTTATCAACGTAAGGCTTTGATATCAAAATGATAACATGATTTGAAATTTATGAAATAAATTTGTATGGCTTACAGAATTTGTTATCAAGATATTATCAATGATAACAAAATTAGTTGTTTTTGTGATATCCAACGAGCAATGTTTTGTTTTCATTTTTGTTATGTTGGCTGTTAATTCAACCATAATGATAACATATTTAGTTATCAAAAAGTGATAACCGGGTAATAGAACTTGATATCAATTTGATATTTTACTTTGCTCGGGACTGTTAGTTTATTGTTTTTATTTACGAAATGTGGAGAGAGTCTGACTACATGCATTTCACTTCCACAGTGTAATTTCTCATCACAGAACAAACTTAATTTATTCCACTGCAGTCCACTGTTGGGCTAGCAATCGAAGCGTTCTCAACAAAATAGAAGGATAATTTAGTTTACCAAAACAACGATGAAAAGTCTTGCTTGTGCTAGTTTTCGGTCTTAGAAACGTCGGATTAGGAAAGCGACAATTTCGTAAGATACGATCCATATCAAATACAGATAAGCGTGAACCACCGTTTCCTCTAGGTGACTAATGAGGTGGATGTATTTCATGCAAAAAGGGGGCCGGTCTCAGCAGCGGAAAATATGACGTTGGTTTTCGATTACAAAGTCAGTCCAACCGATAACGTCGAATTGATGTTCGTCAAGGTTCGCACATCTGCTCTAGAGGTGATTCAGAACGGAAACTCCAAAGTGTTGTGCAAGGTGTTTTAATCGCGGATGATATTTTTTATAGCAACGTTGCAATTTTGTTATGCCTTATCATTTGAATCTAAAAAAGACCTTTCAAGTGAATGTTTCCAGTAATGCTACAGTGAAGCTGTTTACGCGAATGCCACAATCTACAATTAATTATTGGTAATAAATATATTATATCGATTTTCTGACTTTACTGAATGACATACACACCACCAAAATAGATAAACTCGTGAAAATATATCGAAAATCGTTCATATCTTATCGCAAATTGTTCAAAATGGGAGATAAGAACATGCATTATAACAACAGAAAACGGCAAATAAAATTGAAATAAACGTAAACGACAGCAATCATTCGTCATTCACCACCATGACCATTCAGCTGGGTTTAGTAGTGCTCGCAACCTGCGTAGCGATCGTTTTCGGTAACGCTTGCAATATAGGATTTGGAAAGTTGGCAAACTGTAAGTACACATGTCAAATTAAGTCAGTCAAACGAAAATAATCAACTGAAACCCACTTTTCTTAAGCTGATCACCAACTGTACACCCTCCACGCTCGGAGCAATCCCATTCTGGAGCCTAAGAACATGTCATTAGTTTTTGATTACCGAGTCAGTCCGGTGGAGAACATTAAACTTACATACGTCAACGTCACCGCATCGCTACCGGTAATGTATTTTTTTTTATTTCGATGAAGTTCCTCTGAGGTTTTATACTTATTTTATCTCATCAGCAAGGTTGTGTGTATAGTCATTCAGTATTTCAAGACCCGACGAAGGGTTTCAATATAAGAGTAAGCAGTCTACAGCCGGTTCTGGAACTTTATGGAACTGCCACCATCTACGGAGTTAACTATGGGAATTGAGGAAAATAAAGTACGATGAAACTATACATATGAAAAGAAGTCTAGGAAATCAATAAAAAAGAAGGATAAACTCAAGATCAATTATTGGACACCACGAAGTTATCTCTTTAAATGTTATCCCAAAATCAAGGATCGGTTGTAAATAGCTCAAATCCCAAAAGGTGCGTGTTAATGAATTACAGTCCCTTTTACCGGACTGTTGGAATCTTGATTGCATGGTCATTTGGATCAAGGATAGGTCAAAAATTGGTATGGTTTTACTTCAGCAGATTTATTTTACCTCAGACGATTTTTCCCCTAACCTATGAATCTATGATCTCCAGACCTGAGATGAACCTAGGGATGCCACAAATTGCGTAGATTGAATCAAATACAATCAGCGATTGTATGTTAAATAAAATACACTCAGTCAACTGCAAACAATCCATAGGTCATCAAATATGTTTGTCAATAGCTGGGACTTAACTTAACGGGTCGAATATTTGACATTTGAGTAAATAGCGTCATATCAGCTTAAATATTGAAGTTTATTCCAGCATCAACAACTTTTTATTTTTTTAAATACGCTTTCTGTCAAAGCTTCTCAAATGAAGATAATTACAGACACCCCAGTTTTATGGGTCACCCACAATTATTGGCCACTTCCATTTGATGAACACGCAAAACTGACTGACCCATAATAGTAAGTAGCTGGCCCACAATACTGGGGTGACTGTATGTGACCCATAGTGATTTAAAAAAAACCTGAATTAATTCACCTATGGTGAGATCTGACTAATAGAAATTCCGAAAAAAAAGTATTATATGATGTGAAGTAATAGATGAATTCTCTTGTGATTTAAGGTATCTCAAGATGAATTTTTTACGCTAATCTTCATCAAACCTTTTAAAACCTTTACCAATGCACACTGGGCCAGGAACCGAAATTAGCAAGACAAAACCTCTAGCGCATTGGGTTTGCATTATATTGAAATGGTGTCTTTGGCAAAGTTTCTCGGTTTAACATGCGCCTTCATCTGGTAATGGAAATTAGTTCCAATTTTATCCGCATAGATGGTGCTGCGATACTAACTTTCTTATTTCACATGCTAGAGGTTTTGTGTCTTGGAACATTAAAAAATATAAAAAAATGCCGAAGAATTTAAAGTTCTAGGTCTTCAAACAACAAAGATATAGTGAATATTGTAAAATTTAACTGAAATTTGCGTTTTTTGTACTATTTTCCATACAAACGACAAATCCTTCATTTTTTACGCCGTGCATCTTTTAAGTCAGATAATTTGCAAGTTTTAAGGAAGAGTTCCCAATGTTTTGGGTCGATACAAGTGAAATATTAGCCAAAATAGTGAAAATTACCATGATTTTCATAATCCGGTTTCTCGAAAAGTAGCAAGTTTTAGCAAAAAGTCATTTACTTTCTGAAATGTACCATTTATCATCAATCAAAGGTGAAAGTTTGCCGGACATATAACTTTATATATTTGAGATATCTGAATTCATAGACTACAATGTTTATTCAAGCAGCGTTCGCCAACGCACGGCTTGCTGGCTGCATGCGATAGAAACGATGGAATATGTCTCTTATGCTTCGCTAGCTGCACGTTGGCTAACGCTGTACTAATGTATGCACAAAGTTTCTTCATGTTCATGTTCATTCTAGAACATGTGTGCGTGTGACAAAAGTCGATGATGATAGTTGATAGAGCAGTGCACGGTCCCTAACCTCGCTTTTTAGCTCCAAAATTTTTTTCTCAGAGTGAAAGAGATGGCAACGAATGGAAGCCAAAACTGTCAACATTTACGGATGAGAGAAAAGTGCAGCAAATCTTCGTGCACTGATCTAATGTTGAAATGAGAATACACATGTACTGCTTACTGATTGACTAACTGAAAATGTAAGTACGAAAACGGAAGCTCTGTTATTTCGAAGTAATGTTGACTCTTCCGGTGGATTATAGTTTGTGTTATTTTGATGTATATAACTGATAATTATTGCATAAGGTAGGTTATTTTAAATTGTTCAGAAGGTATTTATTTCATTATTGAAAATAAAAGTATGCAGCGTGAGTGTTCGGGAAATCGTGACATTATTTTTCAAAAAAATATCGCTCGTTGATCTGGCATCGCATGTGAAAAAGAAAATTATTTGTCCCGAAAGTGAAGCCTTTGAACAGTCCTTTCACAAATCGCTTTGATTTCTAAAAGCAGACTTTGATTCACGTTATGCCAAGCCCTGCCGCAACAAGCGTTTGTTTTTTTCCAAAAATATACAAAATGACTGGATTCCCACTTCAATGTTCAGGACGATAACCCAAAGAAAAATGTAGGTGGAAGACCAAAAAAATCTTTTTGTGAAGATAGCCAAAGAACAAAACCAGAGATCGAATGATTTACTGCTGACGATGCTTTGCGATTTTTTGTGCGAAAATGATCTTACAATAAAAGAAGAGTTCAAGAAAATAAGACTGAGAATAAGTGAACCGTTACCATCTGGAGGTAATTTCGTTTTATCGTCTTGTTACCTTACATTACGAATACATTTTCATTTCATCAGGTATAGTAATGATGGCAACACCGCCAGATGATTATTTCAGAATCCAGAAACAACGGTAAGAATTACAGGAATTGAGAAGGATATCCTTCGTTGATGTGTTACAATTCTGTGTGCGCTATCTAGCAAGCTTGAAATCGAAGTATTCGAAACCTACGCAGAAGTCCATTATTATAGTTTTTACACTTTGTCACCTACGGTACACAGGGTCTTGGTGCATGGCCCGTCAATCATAAGCCATTGTGATATTTCGATTGGTTTATTATCCGAAGAGGCGCAAGAGTGACGAAACAAATCCATCAGAACATATCGGGAGTACCATCCTCGACAATTCAGTCGTTTTGCAAAAATCGAGGACGTATTCCATCGACTTTTGCTGACCTCTGACCCGGTTATGACAGTGCAGAAACAGTTTCCTCAAACCAAGAAAAAGCAATTTCCAGGACCCGTGCAAATGCTGTTGCAATAATCGACAATGCAAGATAACAGTTAGTGGTTAGAATTAAAAAAAAAATTACTTTGAATCTAGATATCTCATTACACAAGCACACATGTTCGAGAATATACATGAAGAAGCTTTGTGCATACATTAGTACAGCGTTCGTCAACGTGCAGCTAGCGAAGCATAAGAGACATATTCCATCGTTTCTATCGCATGCAGCCAGCAAGCCGTGCGTTGGCGAACGCTGCTTGAATAAACATTGTAGTCTATGAATTCAGATATCTCAAATATATAAAATTATATGTCCGGCAAACTTTCACATTTGATTGATGATAAATGGTACATTTCAGAAAGTAAATGACTTTTTGCTAAAACTTGCTACTTTTCGAGAAACCGGATTATCACTATTTTGGCTAATATTTCGCTTGTATCGACTCAAAACATTGGGAACTCTTCCTTAAAACTTGCAAATTATCCGACTTAAAAGATACACGGCGTTAAAAAGGAAGGTGATCGCGCACGGTAGGACCCGATTTTCTACGTTGTGTGATTATTAATTGAAACAGACCGATTTATTGGCCGTCCTGCCATGGCGGAGGCATTAAACTATATTCATATCAGGGATAGCACATGACAGAGAAACAATAACGAATAGTTACAGTATACAACATAATTAAGTAGTGACATCTATAAGTTGGTACAGTAAATTGTATATGCTAAGGGTAGAGGTAGTAGTTGTCGCCTGCACGAACATACTCCCCCCCAAAAAACAACGTTTTTTATTTCATTTGATGACAATAAATCTGCTGATGACTTTGCACGTACAGTGATGAAAAACGATCAGCTTGTTGCCCATTGTTGACCGATGAAGAAAGTACGGTAGTCCAGTCATGCAGTCTGACGAATATCCAGCGTAGACACTTGCCCGTTGTTATAGAGCATCCGCTTCTAGCCCAATATTGAGCCGTTTGCAGCAGTATTGGATGATGAGCTAGATCCGAGCGGGATGCTCTGCTAGATGGCTACTTGAAAAGCCACACCATCGTAGCCGGTAGCGTACTTGAATTATCCATAGCACTGCACTCACTGACTGGTGTTGATCGCAAAAAGTGTTCGGTGTTATGGGATCGATGCAGTCGGATGATCACATCACTTTTAATACTGTTCGCGCTATCCTGGTCACGGCACCATATGATCGCGCACGGTAGGACCCGATTTTCTACGTTGTGTGATTATTAATTGAAACAGACCGATTTATTGGCCGTCCTGCCATGGCGGAGGCATTAAACTATATTCATATCAGGGATAGCACATGACAGAGAAACAATAACGAATAGTTACAGTATACAACATAATTAAGTAGTGACATCTATAAGTTGGTACAGTAAATTGTATATGCTAAGGGTAGAGGTAGTAGTTGTCGCCTGCACGAACAGAAGGATTTGTCGTTTGTATGGAAAATAGTACAAAAAACGTAAATTTCAGTTAAATTTTACAATATTCACTATATCTTTGTTGTTTGAAGACCTAGAACTTTAAATTCTTCGGTATTTTTTTTTTTTATATTTTTTAATGTTCTACAACTTTGTCCAAGACACAAAACCTCTAGCATGTGAAATAAGAAAGTTAGTATCGCAGCACCATCTATGCGGATAAAATTGGAACTAATTTCCATTACCAGATGAAGGCGCATGTTAAACCGAGAAACTTTGCCAAAGACACCATTTCAATATAATGCAAACCCAATGCGCTAGAGGTTTTGTCTTGCTAATTTCTGTTCCTGGCCCAGTGTGCAATGTAGTGTACCAATAGCGTACCTTCCGAATTTGAGGTTCATTTCTAACTTTAAGGTTTACCATACTTACTTATAAAACACTATTTAAAATACATTATATGTAAAATCTGACTTTGGATTTGGATTCCTCGGGATATTTTAACCCGATTCGACCCAAAAGCCATATTACTTAAGTGTATTATACGCTACTTAATTACCAAAAACGTGATTTTAAAACAAGTA